TCATAGGCAAAAGAAGAATATGCAAGAATGAAACCGTGGCACTTACCTGGCGAGAAGCATAGCAATACAATCGAAAATGACTGTCATCGCAGGGAAGTGATTAGTCCGGCTGAAAACGATGGTGATTGATGGCACAGCTTGTATCAGTCACGGAAATAGTTTACAAATACGACTAACCACGGTAATTGCGGTAATTGTACGTGATTTAGTGTCGGCGACGATGATTGATGGTCAAAATCATAGGCAAAAAGCTCACGATGATGCTGTGCGTCTCTTCCGTCTCCAAAGGCGGCCTAGTCTGCGCAGTCCCCACAATGCTCTGTGACAGCAGGCAGGACAAACCGTAAGACTCTTGATAGAATGCAAGAGCACCAGCAAGAAAATCCTCAGCCCTGGATTCAGTCATCGCGAGTCGAAGCACAGGAGTTTTAGACCGGAAGATGCTTTTTCCGTGGCCACATGTCGAGGGTACTGGGTAAAACGAGGCGACCAACACTGCGACGGTTCGGTGGTAGCGATTGCAGCGATTGCATGTGCTCTGACATAGCAAAGGCATCTTCAACGTCATCCTGGCGGCCTCCCTTCGGCAAATTAACGTGGCTGTTTTTAGGTACCGAGGTTCCTGTGATAACAGTTTACGGGCCCCGTTTGTGTCCGCAGCCCCGTGTCACTGCAGTACGTGGGATGATTGCTTTGTCTGGGCATGCAAGTTCGTGGGGAGTGCAAGGTGGCTTTTCTTCTGAGATTATGCTATCGCAGTGGTCGAGGCATGTCGAGGCCTTCGATCAGACGTGAGCTTCGAAGTCACCCGAGGTCTACGTGGACATCACCATGAGAGCTGCAAAGGTGGAAGAGCCAGTAGGGCCTGGATCACCAAGCTGAGCCTTCAACGGAACTCTGAACTTCGCCCTTCATCCGACAGTGCTGAGAGAAGGGCTGATATCTGCATGCAGGAAACGGAGGCTGTGACTTCTGAGCAGCATGCACGCGAGTCGATCCGAATTGCTCGGACTACTCGCCGGGTGCCAAGTCTGTGCATCGGAGACACCCGTGCAAGATGTGTGCTTGCGGGTTTGGGTCCAGATGTCGATCAGCTTCCTCGAGTGAAACACAGGCAGCAGCCTTCCACCCGTTTAGCCCTGTCATGGTCCAGACAGATGCTTTCTCAGCTCGGACCCTGCGAAAGAATGCTCGGCCTTCTATCGAGCTCACTGCCTTTCGAGGCGAATTGCTGAAGAAGTTTGCCCAGGCCAGCTTGTTGGTAGTGGTAGTGGTAGTACTCGTCGTCGT